TGATACACATTAAAAGTTGACTACATATCGTTTTGTGTATCCCTGGAAGGTTCAACAGCTTGGAAAATCAGATACTATGATATTCTGAAATCCAGAGTTCCATGTAGACTATGCTATCCCAAATGTACTAAAGAAATAGGATCTTTCTTTCTTTCTTTCTTTCTTTCTTTTTGATTCTTTATATATATTTCTAATATATATTCTTTCTTGCTCCATCCATCATAGTTGAGTGCTGTTACTGTTACTGTTACTGTGTCACAGCCTGTTTTTTGTAGTCAGAGTGAACTTTTTCCTAAATATAAACATAATACCAACAAATGCTCTCAGTCAAATGAAGCAGATACTGGTGGTAGATGCTTTGACAAAATAGAAAGGACTATTAAACTTCAGGTCCTATAGATGATGTGGCATTAACATCTGCCAACAGAGAAATCTCAGAAGTCAGTTCTAGATGATGCTAGAACCTGCATGTATCCTGAGTGAATAAGCATCCTCCTCAGTGCCTCAGAAAGAGTTAATGATTACAGAAAAATATTTCAAGCATGGGAATTATGATGCATTAGATAAAAATGTGAGTAGAATATATAATATTACCTGATAAAATAAAAATAAAAAACAAATCCTATTTTTTCAAAACCCCAATAATATTTTATCTGAAGATAAAAATATTACCCAATTTAAATCATCTCCCCAAATGATATTAAAGTATTATTAAATTCATTGGTTGACTCTCATTCTGAAGTACCTTAAATTAGTGTCTAGAAATTATCATGTGAGTTATTTTCAAGGTACCATGGCAAGCAGAAATTCCGAATTTGACAATATTCTGGTTAGTCATAAAGATCTATACAGGCTTCAACCAATCAATTCGGGAGAAATTATTCTTCAATGGTCAGGCCATTACTTGTTAAAAAAAATTTAGTAACAATTTAAAGTGCCTTCTAGACTTCAGGATAAGAAAAAGTATTCATGTGAGTATAGGTCTGAGAATCTTAAATATAAAAGATTCTAAGTGATGATTTATCACTTAGATTCATAGCTGAAGATCTTTAAGTGTTGACTATCTCAAATGTTCTCTTTTACCATGTCAATGTCACATTCAAGTTCTTTGCCCTCCCCCTTTGAATCTCTGTTTCCTATGAATAAATTGAAATCCAATATGCTTTTAATTTTAGTATAATCTTTTTGTTAATTCTTTGAATACTGTATACATGCATAATATACTTTGAGCATTTTCACCTCCCATTGCTCCCCTTAACTCATTATATATCCATACCACAGACCCATTCTATCCCAACTTTGAGTCTTCTTTATTTTTTTTTAATAATTCATTCAGTCCAATTTATGTTGCCAATATATTTCGATTGTGGAATCACTCCCTGGAATATAGTCAATTTATGATAAGTCAAATAAAAACTAAATTTCCCTTCCTCAGCAGATATCTGTAGCCAATAATTTCTCTGGTAGGACAAGTGACTCATGAGCCATTCCATGATCCCCACTCACCATGTCGGAATGATGATTGGCATGCTCTTATGCAGGCAATAACAGCTGTTGTGATTCATGGGTGTAGTGATTCTGTTTTGTTCGGAAAACGATGTTTGGTTCCATTCTTAACTGAACTCTAGTTATATCATTATTTCTACTTCTCTTCATCAATGGTCCCTGAGACTAGTTAAGGACAGGATGAATGTAATAAATAAGCCTTGTTTATAGCTGAGTACTCTATGGACTCATTCTCTGAGCATTGTACAGTTGTGTATATATGTGTCAATCCTGCACCATTGTGTGAAAACCTTCTCTGTTAAGTTCTGAGAACTGCACTCAACTATGGTATAGAGGTACAGCTTTAGAGGGAAGCTTGTTACTAAGCCCTAGCTACATAATAACAATAATTAATTCACCTCCTAGGCACGTGGGGTCCACAGCCTAGGCTTTTAGACATATTTACAGTAGGAGACACATATTTCCTCCTTAAGAGTAGACTTAAAATCGAATACAAAAACAGTGGGTTAAGTCAATAAGATCATATCATTTTGTACCTGTTGGCATCTCTTACCTTGCCAAACATTATTGGAGCTCATTGAGTTTACAGCTGAGTAAACTGTTAATGATTTTTCTTCCACATCAGCCTACAAAAAATGTCTGGTTCTAACAAAGATACCCAGCAAGGAAAGGTGGTTTGTAACATGATTTTTCCATGCCCTTTGTACCATAGTATATGAATTCTTCAGCAATGGGGTCCTAAATCAGGTTCTAGTGAGCAACCAAGAGCAATGTCAATATCCAGTTTTATTTTGTAGGTCTCCAGGACAACACTTACCAACAACTGGAGGAAGGTATCTCACTCCAGTACTGATTTTAGCTGACTTCCAGGTGGAACATTAGCCTTTGTATAGGGTAACTTTTATTAAATTCATATGCATATAGTATATACACAAATATGAATATTCAATAAAAGAATTTAACACAATCAAATATATGCATATTTGGGAAGATTATAAAATTTATTTACATATTTTTTCAAATATTTTTGTCTTAGTTTTCTTTCCATCCCCATTCTCTTTTCTACCCTCTCATTCCTCTCTCTACTTTAATTTCCCTCACTATCTTTCCTTTTAATGAAGATGGGATAGTGTAACACAGATGATATAAATGGACAAAGAATAATATGTTTTCATTTCTATACTGTTTTTAATACTGTGATTATAATAAAATTGCCTAGCTCCCCTTCAATCTCCTATCTCCAAACCCTCCCATATACTTCTCATTATTCACATTCAAATCCATAGTCTCCTTTTTCACTAATTGATGTTATATGTACGCATGAATATGCATATACATATAGTTTTCTAAATATAATATGCTCAATTTGAATAATGTCACTTATATGCAAATATTCAGTTAATACTGTCATCTTTATAGGAATCATATAATTTAAATCAGTAAACAATATATACTTCTAATAAAATGTTGTAGGAGGGTCAATAATTAAAATATTAAGGCTTAGAGATGATTTGCTGAAAAGTACAGTGCTAGTGAATGTCCACGTATTGGCTCTGATCTACTTTCTCTCCTTTTGTTGATGTCCAAATTATTCATGACCACAGTTATGGTTGAGTTGTTTATCAGAGACTTTCAGGATAAAGAACATTTTCTTATCTTCAGCTTACTAATTTATGGGAATAGTTGTTCACTTTTTTTTGTTTGTTTATTCAAGTATCCAAAAACACTCTTTCCACTTCCTTCCCTCCTCCCAATACCCTCCCGCTTCCCCCACTCCCTCTCCTCCTCCCTCACCATTCCCAAGAGCAGTCAGGCTTTCCTGTCCTGTAGTTATTCACTTTTACTCTTACTTAGCTGATTTTATAATAGCTGATTACGAGAAGAAAAGCAAATCCTCACATGTGGTGTTCCCAGGTTACAAGGTGGTAAAACATCTGTTGCCAATGGTAACCTATGTCTCTGGCTTCAGCAAACTGCATATATATTTGTCACAATTCTCTATATGCTTTTAGCTGAAGAAATCTATTAATTCCAAATGCGTGACATATCTGAATGAAGTAAGAACAACAACTAATGTAGTGCCACAACATTGTGTGGGATGTTGTCATGAAGCTGTCAAGATTTGAGCAGAATGGAAGACATTAGCATTGATCATCAGTGTCTTGCAACTTCTTTCATCAGGCTAAATCGTAGTCACATCTGGAGTCTTTAATTGGGCCTCACATTTAGTTCAGAATATTATAAGTGCCAATTAAAGGAGTTGGAAAAGGCAACCTAAGGGAAGCAATTCCAAGAAATAACATATTTTCTTTAACAACCACCTGCATACAAAAATAGTTATTGAATTAGACTTTCTTTTCCAGTCTCTTGTATGTCAATGTAATGCTGCACTCTGAAAGATTCTTTTAAAAAAATAGGCGTATATTATCTCCTCCTTTGTTTATTGTTTCTGTCTCATTTGCTTTCAAACTTTTCAGTAAACTTGCTACCTCTACCTTCATCTTGTTTTTCAAGACAGGATTTTTGTGTGTATCCTTTGCAATGCTGAAACTTGCTGTGTAGACCAGGCTGTCCTAGAACTCAGAGATTGCACTTCTTACATCCATTTTTATTCCAGAATGAAGTAAGCAATTGACTTGCTGGGATGTTTTTGTGTAGTAGCTAAGCATTTATCTCAATAATACATTGTTTATTTATTATTTTCTAAACTTTATTAAAAACTTTAGAAATAGATCAAAATTTCATACACCAAAATTAATCATAATGAAAGTGTATGCAATCAATACAATTAGAACAGGCAATTGGGGAGGAAGATACAGATCTTGCAGTAGTTTTACTACTTGAATATTGGGAATATTTTATTCATTGACTCACCAACAAAACAAGCAAGCAAACAAAATCCCATTGCAGAATTAAAACTAGAAAACCAATTAGGTTCATTTTCTATTCATGTCCCCAACCTGGACATGAAAATTTTACCTGTAAATGCGGGTAAAATATCTTGAGTTAAACTTATATTTTACTACGTAAAATATCAATGTATTTCCAAAAATAAAAACTATGCAAAAGCAACTCAATCATAATTCTTCTTTATCTTTAATTATTTTACTCTCATTTTACTTAGCCCTATTAGTGTAATAAGTTCTGCGTTTCTCATTTATCCTTCTGGTGTCTCTCTTTGGAAATGAAAAAAATATAATTTTTATATTCTCTTTTATTTTAAACACCCCCTCTCTCTCAAGCACACACTGGGTTGCTCTTTCCCATACATTCACAAATCTTCGAAGTCTACATTTCATGGGAATTTTCCTAATTCTTCTTACAGACACTTTTGGTTTGCACTATTGTAATAAAGTATTTTCAGTCTTTAGTATGGGTATTTGAATTGTTTAAAGGCGTTTATGTTAAATATCAATTAGAATGAGCCACTTTGTACTCATGTCTCCTTGTATAGTTGAAGAATGTCATCTAGAAGTTCATGTGGCAGTACATACCTGTAATCCTGCAACTTGGAGACAGAGAATCATGAGTTTGTTGGCAGCTTGTCCTCATAATTAGAACCTGTCAGATAATAAAAGAGAGAAAGAAAATTGAAAGTCTACTTTATTAAAATGTTGAATACCCATGCAAATTGTTTCACACTACAATGACTATGATGAAGATAATTGTTGTGTGTATGTGTTTTCATCACCATAAAGTCAATAACTCATTAAGCTGAAACATACTAATTTGATAACTGTCTTTATTAAATGATTCCCATAGTACAGAGCCCTCTCAGTCATATATCACTTTAAGAATTATATACTACTACCCTGTGATTTGGGAGGAACTTCTGCATATGTATTGTTCTGTTGGTTGATGAATAAAACTGTTTCAGCCAATGGCTTAGCAAAGTAAACCCAGTCAGGTAATCTGAACAGAGATAGATAGATAGATAGATAGATAGATAGATAGATAGATAGATAGA